TGTGATTGTGTTATATACTGGACCATATAAGTGCCTATGCATCATAACTCCTATCATTCAAGAAAAATTACTACCTAAGGTACTAGCATTATGTATTTATGAAGCAAACCAAGAAGGATAATAATGTGGATCATCAATATAACAAGATCAATGAAATAAACAATGCCATTGATAATAATGTGGATCAGCAAGATAACAATAACTAAAAGCAAAAGAAAAAATCTTACCCTTGCTTGCACTGACAAGGAAGAACCCATCGGGCTTTACTGGACTATAGAACACATCAACAACCGGACGAGAACCCATCTAAGAGAGAAACGATTCGATATGAAGGCCAACACACTTTTTTCTTTCAGTTGGAAAAATTTGCAATATACAGTAATGTTAGCATGAGACATCTAGCATGTTATACGTTACTTGACAAGTACACCATATAGGGAGAGTGCTTTACTAGTAGTCTTTTTCTCTATGATTTTGTTGTGATTACAATATACTTTCAAAGTCAGCCATACATGCATAGGAAATTGGCAAACATACTAATAATGTAGGTAGATACTCATATACAAAGGAAGGAAAGGACATTCATTCATAAACAAACTAAAAGGATGAACAGGGTTAGTTAATGGTAAGATACTACCCATCACAAAATAAACCAGAAGTTGACAGAAAACAAAGTTAATGTAGATGGGAGAAATGCTCACCTACCCACGGTGGGCATATTAACATGTGCCTACCGTGGGTAGGGGAGCATTTCTAATGTAGATGGAGATGATTCAGGATGGAACAATGTATTTTAATGAATAAAAGCAAACACAAGTGGAGATTTTGAAGTATGGAGCGAGGTTGGCAAATCAGATTATCGAACCCGGGGGCACTCTGACTCGGGTATCTGCTTTTACGGCTTGGGGATGGATCCTGATTATGAGATGAAAGTCCACTGGTCATGTAAATGGATTTTGTTATTGGACGGACAGCTTCGGATTGTGGTGGACATGTGCAGTTGATATCGAGGTTTGGATTTGGAACAATGACAATTGTTACTGCTTTACGACGACCGACTTTGGATATCGATGCAGAAAGTTAGGTTTCTATTTTGGAGAACGTTAGTAATTGGAAAATTAATATAACAATGATGATTATTTTGTATTCAGCAAGAGTCAACTTTTTATTTCTCTGTCGAGCTTTATTAGATAAATGTATCCTTTGTGGTTGATTCAGAAAAGCCTGAAGCAACAAACAGAGGGAAAGAAATGGTTGACTCAGATGAAGTTAGAGTCAGGTAACAATTATTTGTTTCCAAATGCTACAAGCTTAACTCATAGTCTCATACTCGTATGAACCGATCTCCCTTCTTTTGTATTCCTGGCAGGTACGTGCTATATGTTCAATCTTGATCATTCAATGAACACAATGACATTTCTTTTGGCAATAATAA